TGTCAACTTCAGACTTTTCTGTACCAAACTCCCTAAGGCCTGGTTGGTTGGCACAGTGTATAACTCAGTTTAAAATTTATTTTTTCTCTCTCTCCTCTCCCCCACCCCCATGTTAGTCTGTAACTTTAAAAAAACAAAACTTAAAATTATTGGTCCTATAGCACCTTAGAGACTAACTATATGTATGTTAGTCTCCAAAGTGCTACAGGACCTTTCCTATTTGTTCTCTTATTGAACAAAGTATATAACACTTTTAAAAGATGCAAATGAACTAAGGGTGAATGATTTGCAGATCAAAACAGTATCAAGTTAACTAGGCATTATTTAGACAATTAATAGCCTGTGACTCAGCAGCAACACAAACAATCCTTTTAGGTACAGAAGCAGCTACAAAGAGGATACTGTGGAACAACTTTTGTGATAAGTATTTCTAAGTTAGAGGTGACCTACAAATAAAATATGGGTTTATATTTGTTTCCTTATGTTAAGGCATGATTGCTTGGGGTTTTTTCCTTAAATCTTTGAATTACCAGAGGCATTAAGTATTTTTCTGAGAGATTTCTTGAGTGGCTCAGACTGTACATTCACATTACAAACTCTTCTAGCAACATGGGGTTGTAAGACAGTTGCTGTTTTCACCGAAGCAGCTCACTGCGCAGCAGGAAGGCTGCACAGAGCCCAGCATGCTGCTGCACCAGGCTCCACATAGATCTCCTGCCATGCAGAGAAACGCTCTTCTGTAGCCAAGAAGAGCACCTGTCCAGTGCTGTTTGACTGAGAGGAAGGGCAGGATACACCTCTCCCAACAGCTGCAGAGGGAGGGGAGGCACTGGGCAGTGTTCCTTAACTCCTAAAGCCACAGCGATGCGGGCAGCAGCACTCAGAGAGGGGCTGGGAGGTAGCACAGGACTAGGTGAGGGGAGCAGGGCAGAGAGTGGGGGGCTCTGGGGCCAGGGGCTAGTGCAGGGGAGAATTGAGTGGGTGGGGCTCTGGAAGAGTTGGTAACAGTGGGGCTCTGAAAACAAGAGGCTGGCACTGGGCTGTCTGGTGGTGGGGAGCTCTAAGGGACTGGAACGGAGACATTTGGGGTGGGGAACTGGCACTGAGGGGCTCTGAGGGAAGGAGTCTGGCGTGGGGGGGTGCAGGGGACTCTGGGGTCAGTGGCTGGCATTGGGGGCATACAGTGGAGAGCTCTAGGAGTTAGGGCCAGCAGCCAATGCTTTTGACAGACTGCCAACAATTTGCATAATTAATATGCAAATGAAATTTTTCTTCAACAAATATCTATGACATGAGATTGCAAAACAGCAGCTTCCATAGCTGTATCTGCCCCATTAGTCTCTCAGAGGGTCATGAG